CTCGTATATCTATTTTTGATCTGTACTCACTGCTCCAATGTCAGCCTTTGCCACACCTTCTACATAATCCAGGAGGTGGTTGGGGTCTCCTGTTTAGGCTATTCCTAAAAGGAGTATTACTTCTAGGAGTACCCCACGTATAGTTTTTACTTATATGACCTGGTGTACCACATTTAAAACATTTGGTAACACGGGGCCTTCTTTCACCTCTGGGATTTGTCTCTCCTATCCAAGCCTCATTACTGTAGTTACGAGACTCAACACCATTAGTATACTGAATCCATTCTTCCAAAGGAGCTGATCTGATCTTTAATGGTGTAAGTATTCTTCTGCATTCTGTATTAGCATTGTCGAATGCCAAGGACTCAGTTAATACTTTTCTTAATTCTTTATCTGATACAGCTTTTGTTATAGCTGTGTTCAGCTATAACAAATCGGTGAAGGGTTCATGAGGTCCCTGAAATACCTTTGTGTATACCTCAGTTGGTTTTCCAGGTTCTGGAATTTTTTCCCAAGCATTTAGAGCTGCTGTACGGCATAGGGATATTGTATGCTCATCATAAATGGCTTGTACATTCCTGTCAGCGAAACATCCCTCACCAAGTATTTGATCTTGGGAGATCACAAAACCTCTGATTATACCTTGTTGTTCTAAAATTTTTGCCTCTTTTCTCAACCAGCTTTTCCACTGTAGCTGCTGGCTATATTCTAGAACAGCTGAAATTAACTGATGCCAGTCATTTGGGATGATTCTATGTGAGGTAGACCATGAGTTTAACATCTGTCTTACGTATGTGGAGTGTATCCCATAGGTAACTACTGCTTCCTTTATATTTTTAAAGTCCCTTGTTGAAATTGGTTGTAATGTATATGTATTATATGGCTTGGGGTGTGTGTCATCTGCTGGCTTCTCATGGATGATAACAGGATAAGCCATTGTGTGAGAGCCATTTGGAGATGTTACAACCTCTATGGTCTTGCCCTTCTGCTTATTAGGTCCCTTGTCATGTTTACTGAGAGTTTCTTCTAAGGCTTGCAAACGAGCACCTAGGGTCTGTTCTAGGGAGTGAACCTCCTCTCTGGCAAGGGACTCCAGATTTCTCATGGAATCATAGAAGTTTTTATGTTCCTCAGAAACACATGATTCCATGGACCTTATCTTATCAATTAATGATAATCTTTCTTCCTTATATAGTGTCTGGAGAGTTAGTGTTCTGTCCATTAAATATTCACATTTATTATCAATAAGATCAATTTTTGGTACAAGCCTGCTTTGTAAATCCTGATCAGCAGATTCCAGTGAAAGAATCTTTTTCTGTATGCTTTCATTGCTATCTCTTAAAGCAGATTCCAGAGAGAGAGAATCTTTTTCTGTAAGCCTTCATTGCTATCTTTTAAAGTCTGTAAATCCTGGTTAGCAGATTCCAGAGAAAGAATCTTTTTCTGTAAGCCTTCATGCTATTTTTTAAATCCTGTATCAGTCCCAATAATGCCTCATCTTTGTTCTTGTTATTAAACCAGTGTTTGAACACTGTGTGAATTATTACAATGAATGACAAAATGGTACAGGCCAGATATGACTTAGGAAGGTCGTATATTTCCAGGAAGATGTCATTCATCATACAGGCAAAAAGGTTTTCAAATTCTTGTGAGGTAATGTTGTCAGCCATATTACAAGAATTACTCAAAATTTGTTAGTCAATTTTAAGGTGTAAAATTATCAGGTACTTTTACTTGAAACAATATGCTTACCTTTCATGGTTTTCGAGGGTGTAGTAGCACTTTTCAGCCAGCAGGTGGCGTTGGTACAGCTCCATAGCAGGGCCTGCTGGTGATCTTGGCTGACTGAAGCTCCCTGGAGTCAAGATGGCGGCACTCAGGAAACCGGGGAGTGCCTCTTTCGCTGGTCTCGGGGCTAAGCTGGGGAACTGAGACCGGACTAGCTGCTCCCTTTTTCGGGAATGGAACCGTGTAGGCGTTCCCTGGTTATATGGAACTTTGCAGGCGGGTTTAGGTACCCGCTAGCCGGGGAGGAGGCTGAGGGTGGGAGCCACCCAGGCCTTTGGAATTTGCCCCATGTTGGGCGCCAGATATTGGTGAAATTATTAAGGCCACTCCACGTAGTTAAAAGGAGATTTATTTAATGGTGTAACTTACAAGTTAAGGGATAGGTAAGTCGCGGGGTCTGGGGAAGGTGTATCGCAGTCCAGCAGTGTTCTCTGGAGCTCTGCTTGACCCACCTTCACCGTCCAAGGTCCCGGAACCGAGTGAGTGCACCGCCCATCCAGATCTCAGGTCTCCAGGCGCCTCCCTTGGCTCCGCCTTGTAGGCGTGACAGTTGCCGAAGTCTCATTGGGGGTTGGAACTTCCAGATCAAAGCTGGAATGGCTACCCACTACAGTTGCGTACCTCTCTCCTTGCATCACAGTTGCTTGCTTTGACACATGGTGTTTTCTTCCTCCAATGTACTTCTAATAAAAACCCAGACGTTTATACATATACATAGTTATTTAGACATTTTATAGATATATATAAAACAGGGTGTTGACGTTGTCTTAGAACCAAAGACTGTTTCCACTGGCCAGCAGTGGGACAAAACATGCAACATTTGAGCCACATTAACAAGTTTTCCCAGTGTTACCAAAATGTCTGGTTTTTCTAAAAGCTCAGGTCGTGCACGGTATTCGGCTGTTGTTTCTCTTCAGTTCAGTTCAGAAATGCACCTGCCTTTGTCTCCCAGGACCTTGGCATTTCTTAAGAGTAAAGACTTGGGTTTTTGATAGACTTTTCCTTAATTTTGTTGTACCTGATTATCCCCACCAAATTAGGTAGAGTGGTGTGTGCTTCTTATCACATCACTTCTCTTTGTCATCTGATTTTCAGGCAGTGTCTGGGAAAGCTGCATCCACCGAGGCCCCTGAGAAGGTGGTGCAGTTAGAAGTCTGAATGGCTGGAGCTAGGGCCCTGCACCACTTTTTCTCATTGTCTCTTGCTTTTTGAAAATAAAGTCTTTAATGGTTTGGGGTTGTTGTATTTATTATTACTATTATATTATTTGAAGTAGAGACTCTGTATGACTCAGACTGTCCTGGAGCTCTTGATATTCCTGCCTCTGCCTCCAATGTGCTGAGTATACAGACATGTCCCATCTGCCTGGCTTTTATGGTTTATAATGTACTATTTGTGGGAAGGCCACAGTCATACACTTACAGGGCTTTCAGTTTCTTCTATGTTTTGGTAAATAAACGTTGATCCTTTTTAAAATTTCCTTGACAGGCCAGTTTCTAGTCTCTTGACTCCCCAATACCCTGTCCTTCATTTCTGGTACCTTGTCTGTCTTAGTTAGGTTTTTATTGCTGTGAAGAGACACCATGACCATGGCAACTCTTATAAAGGAAACATTTAATTGTGGTGGTTCGCTTACATTTCAGAGGTTCAGTCCATCATGATGGGGAGCATGGTGGCATGCAAACAGGCATGGTGCTGGAGAAATGGCTGAGAGTTCTACATCTTGCAGGCAATAGGAAGTTGACTGACTGTCACACTGAGTGAAGCGTAAGAAAAAGACCTCAAAGCCCACCCCCACAGCGACACACTTCTAACAGAAGGTGTGGCCCAGAATAAAGGTGTGTCATCCAGCCTCCTCCAACAAAACCACACTTCCTCCAACAAGGAAGCTTATGGGGGCCAAGTATACATGTAAACTACCACACTGTCTTTCAGCTGTGGTGCCTCCTTCTTCGTGGGTTCCTAGCCCTATCCAAATCCCTGAGTTTGCAGTAGTTTGTGGTGACTTCTTATCAGTAGTGTGAGTGTCTTTTGATTGATTTCTTACATCATTGTCTCTAGTCTTCAGTAATCAGCCTGTTGTGAGTCATTGGCTTCCATTCTCAGTCCCACGAGGGGTTATTTCTGGCCATGTTTCAGATGAGGAAGCAGAGCTCAGCAGCTAGTTAAACCAGAGGAACAGAACCAACTCTACACACTTCCTAAGCATGTCTTCTATCTCCCATACCCTCCTCTGACTGAAGCTTTAACACCACCCTTCCCACCCCACCCACAGGAGCCAGTGGGCTTTGTGAGGCTCAGAAGAGCCCAGAGTATACTAGTTTGATGGTGGCTCTCCAAGTCTCAGTCTGGACCAGTCTATGGAGTTCATCAAGGTTGAGCCTACTAGGCCTGGGCTGAGTCAAACAGTCTCCATTCATGAAAGAGAATGGCGACAGCTTTCTCCTCTTAGACTTTGTATGCCAGGTGCCCTGCTAAAACCTTGCCTCAGGCCCTCACAACAACCCAACAAAGATGGGTCTAATGGGCCTGACTAGAATCCTACCCAGGGTATAAGCTGGCTACTGACCTTCTCTCTGCTGCAGTCAGGCAGGCCTCTCACTTTGAATGTTGGCTGGTCACTGCCACCAGTTTCCCTGTGCTGTGAAGAATCACAATGTGAACTCATATGTCAGTATATTGTTAGAGTTAAATATATTGCCAATAATATACAATAATCATATATATTATCAGACTACAGACCATTTGTCTCACCCATCATCTCATCAGTGTTTATTTGGCCAATAATTTTTTTGTGGAGGGAGTGGGGATGGGTCTCTTGGAGCTTAGGCTGGCTTCAGACTTCTACTCCTGCCTCCTGAGTGCTGGAATTATAGGTAAGTGCCAGCATACCCAGTTTTTATGTGATGCTGAGTGTTGAACTCAGGGCCTTGTGCATGTTAGGTAAGAACTTTATCAATCAATTGAGCTATACCCCCAGCCTATCACTTATTTGATTTGTTGCTAGTGGGTAAAGCTGGAAAAGGCATAAGCCCAAGTGTTCAGACAGGCAGACAACTGGAGTCTTGGAGGTAAAAAGGGAAGAAGAGAGACATGGTGCTTATGGGGTCCTGGTGTTCCCTCTGCAAGGTTCTTCCATCCCTTGTGTATGTTCTTTCTAATTGTACTGTGTCTCAGACAACACATAACTGCAGCTTCATCTTGACTTGCAGCCAAAGTGATTATTCACCAGACACTTAGTGTCTTGGAAGACATTGTGGAGAATATCTCTGGGGAATCCACCAAGTCTCGACAGATCTGTTACCAGTCACTGCAGGAATCTGTTCAGGTCTCCTTGGCCCTCTTTCCAGCTTTTATCCATCAGTCAGGTAAGAATTGGCTCAGAGGCCTGCCTCATGGATGGATGGTGTTCAGAATACCCACTTACAGCTGTAGAACATGCCAGGTCAGAGCAAGTCAGCCTGGACTTTGCTCAGTGAAGGGAAGCATATAGACAAAGGCAAAGGTGTACTGTCATTGGAGAGTCTGGAAAGGTGAGCAGAGCTGATGTGGTTTTCTTAAGCTGTTGTCAGTGTTACTATCACTGACCAATACTGCTCTGTCACTCTGAATGTACCTGTCTGGCTCTGCTGAGAGCATTTACAGTGGACTTGTCAGTGTTAGACAGCATGGGCTTTGTAGCTTAGATGCAATGACAGCATCTTGTAAGCACATGATGTGTGGTAAGAACCAAAATGTCCCATGCAAGACGAGATCTGGATATGATGAGATCTAGATATGAAACCACACTAACCAGAATCAATAAATTCATTTAGTACCCCAGGGCAGTGTGACCTGAGTGCTACATCATTATCTACTTTTAGCCACTTAACCTTGACCTACTACAGGGATGATTGGTCTTAGAGAGAAATGCCAAGGCATTCAGGTGTTGACCCAGTTGGATAATTTCTTGGATGTGAGCACAAAGTGGTTCATTTTCAGTGAGAATGCTGACCATGCTGGATGCAGGACAATACACTGGGCTTCAAGATGAGACAACTCCATTTCCTGCTGTGAGCAATCAAGCAGCCATTCCTAGGAGCTGAGCTGTGTTCTCAGCAGGCTCTTAATCATTTTCCACTTCCGTCATTGGCTCTAATGGTATTGGGGACACTTCTTCAGTGGGACGCATTAGAGAGAGGTGACAGTGCAGAGTGATGAGGCACGGCTGCGTTGGTCCCTGTGCGCACGCAAGGTGTTGACCATTGGCTTTGTCCTTCATTCAGATGTGACTGATGAGATGCTGAGCTTCTTCCTCACCTTGTTTCGAGGCCTTAGAGTACAGATGGGTGTGCCTTTCACAGAGCAGATCATACAGACTTTCCTCAACATGTTTACCAGGTAACCATACACCTGCTGCCCAGGCCTTTCAGATCCCAGGAGCAAGCCTGGCTGCAAAATGCATTGCTTGTCCTCTGGTTCCAGAAGAATCAGTTGTTGAGTTATCTGTGGCTTTCTCTTGCCTGTAGAGAACAATTGGCTGAGAGCATCCTCCATGAAGGCAGCACTGGCTGCCGGGTGGTGGAAAAGTTCCTGAAGATCCTGCAGGTGGTGGTGCAGGAGCCTGGCCAGGTGTTCAAGCCCTTCCTCCCCAGCATTATTGCGCTGTGCATGGAGCAGGTGTACCCCATCATTGCTGAGGTAGGTGGGGCCAGGGAGGTCTTTGTGCTGCCTCTTTACTAGGAGGGAGGGAAAGCACCTTGTGTTTAGATCTCGTTTGTGAGTTCTTTCAGTACTCTTGTAAGTAATTTTTGGGGTCCCTCCTCCCTCCAAGAAAAGAACACATTGTGCATACACATACATAAAAAAAATGAATACTTAATAAAAAGAATAAATGTCTCTGGATACTTAGGACTTTTAAATGCTCGTAACTCACAGCTGGAGAGATGGCTCACCATTAGTGCACACTGCTCTTCCAGAGGACCTTTCTTTCTCTCCCTCTCCTGTAAATAGTCTTTTGCTAAAAGCAAGTTCTTTGTGACAATTCAGGTAGAACTTTTCGTGGTCTGGGAAAGTGACAGACACTAACTACATAGCAAGACCCAAAGGAAGTACAGATGCAGCTTGAATGTTACTGCAGTGGTTAGGGAAATAGGAGCTGATCTTGTAGCTGTCCCCACAACCAAAGTCTAGGGCACTGGGTCCTAAACACACATGGCTGTATAGCTGACAGTCAGAATTCTACAGCAGTGTTGGCAATAATGTGGCTTGTGTGCTCACTGGTAACTTGGACATTTGGGTTTGAGTTAGGAAATCATGCTTCAATGAGTGACCCTCTACTCTCTCAGAATCCTGATGCTGGCTACAGGAAAAGGAGCCGCACCCAGGCAGCAATTAGTGCAGCCTGTTGCCTCCATGGGGAGGCCTTTAGATTTCTCAGGTTCCTAAGTGCTCTTCAGAGTTGCCTCTCTTGGGTAGCAGCACTGCTTTTAGGGCATCTTGCTTTTGTTAGTCTCTCAGGTTGCTTAAAGCTAGCATGCTAGCCATGCTAACCGTTTCCATCCTGGGAGAGGGATCAACCCAACCTGGAAGATTAAAAACAATCCAACTGGCTAGTTCCTGAATAGAAAAATCACATTTTCATTGTCTTTGCCCTTGTGTCCCTTCTTCCTAGTGTTTAAAGCTGAGTGATTCATTAGAAAGAGCCTCCTGGCACTCATCTGAATGTTGTCTCATGTGTCTCTTGAAGCACTCCTGGGTGAACTGCCCCCTGCAAGGACTCAGGGCCTTCTGCATGGGAAGTGGCAGAAGTGTGGGTAGAACATTGAATACTAGCTACTATCTGGTGCCTCTTAGACTTCTGTGGTGGCCTACACTGGCTAAGAGGCCCCCAAGCTACATGAAAGAAAGTGTAGTGCCATGTGGCTGTCTCTACAGCGCCCATCACCTGACGTGAAGGCTGAGCTGTTTGAGCTCCTCTTTCGAACGCTCCATCACAACTGGCGGTACTTCTTCAAGTCTACTGTCCTGGCTAGCGTGCAGAGGGGCATTGCTGAGGAGCAGATGGAGAATGAACCCCAGTTCAGTGCCATCATGCAGGTAAGGTAGAGGGCTTGCCTGTGAAGCTGCAATGTGTCCTGAGAGCAAGTGGGCCTTGTTCTGGGTGCTGCCTGCATCCTTGGCCCATGTCCCTTGGGTTCTTCTCAGGTATGTGGCCCACTTCTTCCAACCTGGCCCTGCAGCAAGTGTGAGGCTGACACTGAGCTCTGCCCCTGTTAGTTTCTTGGGGCTTCAATATCTTCATCTGTAAAGTGGGGTCAGTACTGCTAGTTTCACAAACTAATTGTGTGATAAACAAGACAGTGTACACCAAGGACACAACACCAGTGGTTATGTGCTCCATGTCCATTCCCTTCATTTAAGAGCAGTGTAAGGAGGAATCTGTTGGGCATGGTGACATGTGTAGTTCCAGCCCTTGGAACACTTGAAGGCTGAGGCAGGGTGACAAGCTCTACCTGGTTCTTGCTTACAGGATACTTGGTGAGCCAGGAGTCTGGAGAGCCCAGCAGTCTGCATTTGGAAAGGGCACTCTGGCTCCAACCATGCTGCCCTGTCAGGGCTTCGGCTTAATGTAGTCTAGTGTTTGCTCCCCTAAGCTTTGTATATGTAGACTTCTTTGATTGAGGACTGGTTTCTCACTTGGGGCTTATAAAAGTTACTTTGAAAGAGTCTCATAGTTTGGCAGTTTCTTATAATGTTATATATGGCTGAGCATATGATCTAGCAGTCGACAGCATGTGTTCGCACCACCTGTACACAGATGCTTGTGTCTGTTTTCATGATTGCTCTAGACCCAAAACAGTCCAAATATTCACTAGCTGTGAATGGGTAAACCCAGTGGCAAAGAAGTAAAGAACATACTACTACAGTGGAGATGAACACACTCTGCTAGGTGAAAGAAGCCAGAAGAAAGGCTCTGCCCAGCCCCTGACCCGTCAGAGGGATGGAGAATCAGCAGTGGTTGCCAACACAGGAAAAGGATTGAGATAAAGCTAGTGTGAGGAGATATTGCAGGCCAAAGGAAATGTCTTACACCTTAATGGTGATGGTGCTCTGTTGACTCAAGTCCTACAGTGCCAGAGAGTTTCACTCCAGCTTCAGAGAGCTTGATGTTTAGGAGTAGATTCCACTGCTGCAGCAGTGATGACAAGATTCCTTGCATAGTCGTGCAGCCCTGGGATGGAGTAGCCACTTCCTGTAGCCTGCCAGCCTCCCTTGTCCCTGTGATCCCTTGGTACTGGAGTGGGGAATTTTGTGTCAGGGGTGTGTTTCAGTCTGCTCCTGAACTAGTAGTAGCTTTCCCTCCTAGACATTCCGAGGCAGTTTACAGATGTGCTGGTGCTCAGCCCCAACGTGTGCAGTGATTGAGAGAGAACCTCTGAGGACTTGTGGGTGCTAAGGAGCACGAGATTCCCTGTAGAGGATTGCCTGGGCAGGCAGGCAGGTAGGCAGGCAGGCAGGCAGGCAGGCAGGCTGTGCTGTCTGTTCAGATTGCTCAAGGATTTGACTAGTGTGGGTGTCTTGCTTCAAAGATGTGCTCTTGAAGAGATTCTAGAGCAGTGGTTCTCAATCTTCCTAACACTGTGACTCTCTAATACAGTCCTCATATTGTGGTGACCCCAACCATAAAATTATTTTCATTGCTACTTCATAACTGTAATTTTGCTACTGTTATGAATTGTAATATAGATATCTAATATGCAATCCTGTGGGGGTCATGACTCCCACACAGGTTGAGAACCACTGTTGTAGCGTTTTCTTTTAGAAGGTATAAATGAGACCAGACTAAGAATTGAGGCCCATGAGAAGACACAGGTGCCAAGACACCAGGGTTACATTGCAGAGGTCTGCCCTACTGGGCAGAGCTGAGACTGCTGCCTCCCCTAGCCATCCAGTGAGGAGCTGCATAGTGTTGGTTCTGACATAAGATAGAGGCCCTGGAGGATTGGGTTTCAGGAAATGTAAATGCTGCTTATTAAATAGTAGTCTTACTCCCCAGGCTTTTGGACAGTCCTTTCTTCAGCCTGACATCCACCTGTTCAAACAAAATCTCTTCTACTTGGAGACTCTGAACACCAAGCAGAAATTATACCACAAAGTAAGTGCCCTTCTCTCCTGGAAGTATTCCTCCTCATCTGAGAGTTCTGGGCCGAGTCTAACTCCCTTGAGTCTGCCTGGAGAGTATTTGGGGAACACACTAAGCCTAGGGTGACCCCAGTCTGAGTGAGCCTCCTGGCCCATGCTCCTGCTCCTCTGCTTGCAGAAGATCTTCCGGACCACTATGCTGTTCCAGTTTGTGAATGTGCTGCTCCAGGTCCTGGTTCATAAGTCTCATGACCTTCTACAAGAGGAGATTGGCATTGCCATTTACAACATGGCTTCTGTCGACTTTGATGGCTTCTTTGCAGCCTTTCTTCCAGAGTTCCTGACCAGCTGTGATGGTGTGGATGCCAATCAGAAAAATGTGCTGGGACGAAATTTCAAGATGGATCGGGTGAGGAGAAAAGGCCAAGCTATAAGGGAACACATGTGTGGGTTCTTGAGCCTGTTGTCTGATTAGTGAGGGGCCCATCTAGGTCTTGGCATGGTTGTACCCTCTGGTAGGTTATCATCAATACCTGGGTAACTTGATGCTGGGGTTGGGTGTAGAGGGCACACTCTTTCTCTGGGACTTGGCTCCTGTAACTCACATGTTCATTGTCTCAGCCACAGAGGTTACAGGACCCAGCAGGCAACACATTATCTTAACTTTTTTGTCCACATCTCCCACCCCGTCAACACACATCTCTGCCTCCTATGGGGCTTGCACTCTTGGTGGTCTAGAAGACACCATACTGTCCCTCTGCCCTGACTTTCAGGCAGGCTAAAAAGATTGGTACAGCTTTGGACCCCCAGAGATGGCCCTGTTGCTTGGCTGCCCTGGACTCTTCCTGTCTTTCTTCACAACCCAGCACTGGTGCAGCTCAGACTCCTCAAAGGACCCTCATAATATTCACCCTCTGTGCTACTGAGACCCCTAGGAGAAGTCACTTGGGGGTGATGGGGCAGCTGGGGTGCTGATGACTCTGGAGCCATTGCTGCTCAAGGCTGTCAAGCTCTGTATCGCCCCCTTTCTGCATCATGTGGCCATAGCCCTCTCCGATCTTTGCGTGGTATGCCATCTTTGGAACTTTGCAAAATAAAGTTCTTTGTTTTGTTTTGTTTTTTTTGAGGCAGGGCTTCTCTGTGTAGCTTTGGCTGTCCTGGAATTCGCTCTGTAGACCAGGGTGACCTCGAACTCACAGAGATCCGCCTGGCTCTGCCTCCCAAGTGCTGGGATTAAAGGCATGCGCCACTACTGCCCTGCCAAAATAAAGTTCTTTAGGACACTTTTTCTTCTTTGGAACAAGCACTGTTCCTCTTGTCCCCTTGGGTGGGGAATTGAGAACTTCTCTCTCCTGCTCTCTTGCTGTTCTTTACTTCTGTGCTGGGGCAGCCGTACATGCTGAAGCAGCCGTACATGCCGGGCTCAGGTTTCTGGCCATTCTGCCCGCTCTTTTGTCAAGTACCCTAGGGAAGCTTTCTTGGACTCACAGCTTTGCATTTTTGTATCTTAGAATTGTCCTTTTTGGGGGGATCTGTCTTTTTCTCTTTTAGCCACTTGAGTAGTTTTTCCTTAGTTTTCTCTTGACCAACTCCTACATCTCATGGTTGCTTTGCAGTGGCATCAGTATTAATGCAGTGGGTTCCAAATCTAGTTGCTCAGTAGACTCCTGGGATGCGTATGGAAAATGGATAGTTGGCTCCACTGAGGGAGTTTCTTTGGTGTTTAGGAGCTGCTGATTGAAAAGATGCCACTTGGTCGGTTTTTGGCTTGGTTTGGTTTGGGTATTCTGAGATGAGGCCTTTGCTGGACTTGATTTGTGATCCCCCTTCCTCTGCCTCTTCTATGTAAGTGCCATCCAACCCTTCCCTCTCTGCACAGGGTCTTTCTTTGGTCTGAAACTTACTGTATAGATCAGGCTGGCCTCAAACTCATAGAGATCCTCCTGCCTCTGCCTCCTGAGTGCTGGGGTTAAAGGTGAACACTCTCAGGCCCTGTGCCCTGTACTGTTCTTCAAGATGAAATGAGTCACACTTTCCATGTTGTCATCTACTCAGTTACCTGCTGCCAGGCACAGTCCCTGCTTCCACGAAGCCTTTTGTTGAAGACAGGCTGCATAGTGTGTTTTGTTTTGTTGAGCATGCTGTTACTGGCACTTCCTGCTCTTCCATTCACCGTCTGAAGAGCAACTTAACTATTAGCTTCATTTTGTAGATGGCCTAGACTTAGTAGTTACTGAACTTGGAAGTAGTAGAGATGTGGAACAGGATCTTAGCTGAGTGTGTGGTTGAGAGTAGGCAGCATGATTGATCTAAGGCAAGACAGGCGGGGTCTTTGGTGATGGGGACAGGTGTGAGCTGAGTTCCATCAAGGAAGAAAGTGAGAGAGATAGAACTATCAGCTACTGAGGTGACTGAGTTTTATGGGGATCGCCTTGGTAGCTAAGGCAGGGTGCCAGTTATATCTGTGACAGCATTGTGTATATTGTTGACACTCTTCACATTGGGACCTGCACAGCAGACCCCCAGTTACACCACACTAAGCAATGTGGGAAGCAGTGAACATGATAATGTTCAGGGTTCAAGCTGTGAGGGACTCCCGATTTCAGCATCTGGGTGCCTTCCCAATTGCTGTTGCTCCCAGCAGGACAGCTCTGGGGCCAGGCAGTGTGTGTTCTTCAGCTCAGATGTCCTTTAACTTGTAGGGACTAGTGGAACTCCTGCAGGAAGGACTCTGTGATGTGGGTCATCAAGACTGGCCTAGGGGAAGGAGAGGGCAGAGGAGCAGCCAGGCTGGTGTTGTGACTCTTCCCTCCCTCCCTGTCTGACCTGCAAGACCCTGCATTGCAGGCTGTGGTACAGGTCTGAATTGCTTACAGCAGAGCCTGGCCTGTGGAGCCCTGAAGAAGGATTTTTGCATGTACCCTCCACCCAACCTTGTACCTTGCCTGGGACTTGGAATCTTATTAAATGTTTGCATGGAACCAAAAGCACAGGTGTGGGGACAGCTGATGAGTTTGGTGGGTGGGTAGCCTAGACTATTAGGGTTGGGTGGACCTTCAAGAGCCAGGCCTCAGCTTTGCCCTGCCTTTCAGGACCTGCCCTCGTTCACCCAGAATGTGCACAGGCTGGTAAATGACCTACGTTACTACCGACTCTGCAACGACAGCCTGCCCCCTGGCACTGTGAAGCTCTAGGAGTGCCTGCTTGCCTTCCTGGCTGCTCACTGCCCCAGGGACGTGCCTGCTGCCACCGCCACCTACACCACCTGCACCTGTGCCACGGAAGTCTGTGACAAGCCTTGGCCACTCTCTGGATGGTCATGCCCTGAGCAAGTGGCCTGCCTTTGCCCTCTCCTGCTGCCACCAACACAGCAGGCCTTGGGGTCCATTTGACACTGGTAGAGTTTCCAGGCATTTGGAGCAAACAGAGGGTCATGTGGCCGGATGCCAGGAAGGCACCCAGAGGTCCCACAGCGTGGTCCATGCAGATCATGTGTCTATCAGTCCTGAGTCCGAATCGCCAAGGACCGCTTACAACAGTGCCACCTTCTCACCATTCCACCTCCCCACCCTCCTGGCCGGCCAGCCCAGGAGAAATTCGACAGCAGAACTATTTCTGTCGAGCCTCCTGCCCTCCGATTGCCTTGAAGTCTCTGCTCTTTGTCAGAGATTCGTGAAGACTCGCATTTTTTTGTTCTTGTTTTCTCATCATTCCATTGTGATACTAAGAAGCTTAATGGATAAATAAAATGCTTAAGTTGTTGTTATAGAATTATTAGTTATGGAGCATCTTTCCACCTGAGCTCCTTAAGGCCAGTATCCAGTTGGTCACCATGGAACCAACAGTGGACCTCTGTGTGGTGCTGAGGCCCATGTTGTCTTGGGAGAACAGTGAGAGGGGGCCCAACTGCTATGGACTTCGGGATAACATCTTCCTCAAACTACCCAAAGAAGCATGCGCAAGGCTTGGGGAGCTAGCTGTTCTCCATGACAGTGACCCTGTGGTAGAGGCAGGCATGCATCCTGAGCCTGTCTTGCTGCCAAACCCATAACCCTTTCTTCCGGCCCTGCACCTCCAGGTGGTAAGCCCAAGCTCTGGCTCCTTCCTTCCAGAGAGTCGATCCCCTCTGGAGATACCCAGTCAGAGTTATCCCTCAGGGAACAGGCTTCACCTGAGGTGCTGAGAGGGCAAGGTCTGTATGGGTCAGTGTAGAAAGAGACAGCTGTGAGCCCTGGTGGGAGGAGACTAGTTTCTGGTGTGTCTGGGAGTTTGGGACCTTGCCCCGACATCCCTATATGGAAACCCCTGGTCCTAAGATCAAAAAAATTTCTGTTCCTATGGCATGAGTCAGTAGCTGGATCAGGTTAAAATACACACCTGCCCGGGAAGATTTACTTATGAGTGTAAGGTCAGAGTTTCTGAGAAATTGGGGCAGTGGTGGTTTTATAAACTGTGCTATTTTATGAATTGCTTTTTATACACTATTGTAGTATGATCATTCCTCATCAAAGTTCTACAAAACATGCTTGTCACAGTAGGTGGTGCTTTATCACAGGGATTGCCATTGCTATAATTTTTTTTTTTTATAAAAATACTGAGTGTGTATGATGTGTGTGCATGCATATGTACCATGGTACATATGTGGAGAGAGATCAGAGGACAGCTCTGTGGGGTCCTTCTCTCCTGTCATCTATGGGGATCTTGGGGTTGGTGCTCAGGTCATTAGTCTTGCAGCCTTTACCTGCTCAGCCACCTTCACGGGCCGTCTGAAGTTTTTATTTCTGGTGGCCCCACTGTCTCTGTAACATACACCAGGGTGCTTGTGCTGGTTCTTGATGGTTGTCAACTTGATTATAAAGGGAGAAGTGCCCAGGAAATTTTTAAAACACACTGGATTATCTTAGAGGATGACCTTCTCAGTATAGTGGTACCAGGCCCTAGGCTGGGTACCCTGATGTGGTTAGAGGAAGGAGGAGGAGACAGTTCAACCATTCTCCTCTTTCGGCTTCCTGTCACTATGAGGTGAGCAGCTCTGCTGTGCATACCTGAAGCCATACTATTCTGCCTCACACAGGCCCAGAGCCCCATAGGAAGCAGGCCAGGAGCAGGAAACTTTGAGGCTCTGAGGTCTTTTTTGGTTGTTTTTCTTGGTTGTTTTCCAGAGCTCTGTGAAGTGTACCTGGTGTGTTTCCATCAGTTAAGTTCTGACACAGAATTACTGGGACAAACCCTTTGAGGCTCACAGTTGCTATCGCAGGACCAGCTTCTTGTTGGAAGGATAGAAGGTAGACTTTAGAGTTGCAGGTGTCTGCATAGAAGGCTCCTGGGCCACTGCAAACCGGACATGTGGGTCTTGGTGACTCGGAACTCCTACTGAGACCCTCTGTACATCTGAACACTTCTTCTGGTGTCATCTATGTCATGCATGTCTGTGAGGCAGCTGACATGTATAGGACTCTGTGATGTGGGTCATCAAGACTGGCCTAGGGGAAGGAGAGGGCAGAGGATCGGCCAGGCTGGTGCTGTGACTCTTCCCTCCCTCCCTGTCTAACCTGCAAGACCCTGCATTGCAGGCTGTGGTACAGGTCTGAATTGCTTACAGCAGAGCCTGGCCTGTGGAGCCCTGAAGAAGGATTTTTGCATGTACCCTCCACCCAACCTTGTACCTTGCCTGGGACTTGGAATCTTATTAAATGTTTGCATGGAACCAAAAGCACAGGTGTGGGGACAGCTGATGAGTTTGGTGGGTGGGTAGCCTAGACTATTAGGGTCGGGTGGACCTTCAAGAGCCAGGCCTCAGCTTTGCCCTGCCTTTCAGGACCTGTGTGTAGGGACAGGAGCAGAAGCATCTAGTTGGCTCTTGGGACTTTCACAGAACTCTGATAGATGACTACTGGTTTATTGATGCTTTTCAAAGGCTTCTGTGAGCCAGGTGCTAGGCTGCATGAGAAGGCTCTAGAGGTCAGTGAGGTATAAGCAATATTGCCCAGGAACTCACGGACCAATGAGCAGACAGCTAACATTGCTCAAGGGATGAGGTGGAGCAGATGTATCAAGGACCAGGGCATGACTCATCACAGATATCATCTAAGTGGGTCCACAGAGTGGAACGGACCTCAGAGAGGTTGGAGAGGCAGACGGGTGACAGCATCTTAGCCTGAAAAGCAGGATAAAGCTGGGTGAAGATAATATGGTGAGCCAAGAAGCTTTGGTGGGGTCATGAATGAGTCTTGTTATCCCCTATCCCAACTAGGGAGTGATAAAAAAAAGACATTCTCAGTAGTAATTCTAGGACAGTGTTGGAAGACACAAGGACATGTCTGTCTGGTCATGGGAGACGAAATCCTAGCTGCCTCGGTGTCATCCAAAATAGACAGTGAGTCCCTTTTTGCTGCTAGAGCGTCGGGCCAGACAGAGGTGGGCTGTGCAGTGTACTGTGCATTCAGCATGTTGGTGAATGTGCTCTGGCCACTGAGTCTCATCTGACAGTGTCGGCTGCTCTGCCCTGTTCCCCTTTTCCAGTGCGAGCCCTCCTCTGCCCTCTCTGAACCCTCCTTGGTGCTCCTCACTCCACTCTGCCCCCCAGCACTGTGTCCTCTGGGTCATTGGTGGTATTCTCACTAAGAGAAGGTGGGGTGGGGGGTGGCCTGTGTTCCAAGACCTCTGCATGGTGCTTGGCCTGGAGCTAGGGCCTCAAACTGTTGAGTGGGCGAAGACTCACCTAAATAGAGCTTTCCCCACAGGAAGCAGCAGAGGGGCCTTCTGACTAATCCTCAGCATAATGAGACGGCCTTGGTGCAGCCGCCTCACCTTTCCGAGCTCCTCAGGGAGGGCGCTCAAGTGCAGCTCTTCACTGAAGGAGCTCCTGCTCAAGGGCTCTTCCTGTCTTCCTGCCTCTCAGCATTTAGAACTGCCTTTAAAAGGCTTGTTAATTAATTGGCTGGGCCCCTTGGAATTGGGGAGGGGCTGTTGATGGGCCTAGGAAAGCTAGCTCCAGAATCAGGTGTGGGCCCCCATGGGAGGGTCGTTCAAGTAGCGTGGGAGCTATAAAGTCAGTGATTTCAATGATATGGGCAGACATTTTGGAAATGGGTAGGTTTTCTTTTTAAAAATAAGCCTTGTTTCTTTTTCTCCTGTCTTCAGTATGGAAATATGTGTTTGCAGATGAAGGGGACAGAGGTGAGTCGCAGATCTTTGGCTTTGATCTGGAACTCGGTGATCTTCCTGCCTCAGCCTCGTGAGTCCTGGGGTTACAGTTTTATGCCACCATGACTCCTCCCGGTGGCCCTTGACACAAACACACACATCACCAAGCCTTCTATTCTCGCCTCAAAGGAGAAGGAAAGAAACGAATCTTCTTACTACCCTCCCACAGGTGTTCTTCCAGCAGACCCCATTGCCGTCTACAGCTCTCCTGTCCTCTGGCAGAGACCAGAGCTGGATCCTGTTGTCATCCTTGGAGCTTGAAGTGGTATAGCTCCCATGTTGTAAGGCTGCCAGCCCACACCGTCTCCCCTGCTTGAATCCGTGAGCACTATGATGGGGTTGATTCCTGAACTCTGAGAGTGAGTCATGGTGACCTTGCTCCCATCTTCTGAAGGACAGAAGTGATTCAACATGTGTTCAGCATCTGTCTCCCATAGGCTTCTGTTATGGACTCCCCAAAGGCTCCACACCCTTACCCAGGGTCAGGGGTCAGCCTTTTGGAGATGCTTGCCTCCTGGGAGCCCCTGCCTACAGAGCAGAGTGCTTACAGAGGAGTAAACAGAAGCTTAGGAAGGGGAGTGATGTGCCCAAGGCCACACAGGCAGTCACTAGCTAAGCTTGAGTCATTCTGGACCCTCATTCTGAGTGCTATGCCAGCACGCACTGGCCTGTTTTCTCAGCCTCCCAGTTAAGGGCCTGAGATGTTCATCTGCTCTCGCCTGTTATTCACAGATGTCAACCTTGATTGAGGAAGCTGGGCTGTGCTGGGATGGGACTACACGCCCTGCCCTTTCCTTGTCTGGCTGGAGTGCCACTGGCTGATGCTTATGCAGGGCTCCCCTGCTAACACTGCAGGAGTTCCAGGGCTGGGCCTGGCTGAAGGAAAAACAGGAAGCAGGGAGCCCCTTTGGGCTCCAGTTTGGCCATGCCAGGTTTCATCCTGTTCTTGCTGGGCCACATCACCTCAAGTCATGGAGCCAGTGTGCACAAGGTGCCCCTGGCTTCCTAGTGCATGGCAGGGCTTCTTCCAGTTAGCTGCTGCTGCTTTCTTTGCTGACTCAGAGAGTGATTTGTAACTGACCCAGGCAGACTGTTGTAAGGAGAGGACTTGGCACAGTGTGGGGTCCCTAGGCCTCTTCTGCAGTTGAGTTGAACTTCCCTTTTGAAGTCAGCTGTGGGCATCTGACCTTGCATTTCCTCTCTCAACCAATGGCATGGGTCATAAAGTCAGCACTCACTCGCTACCCTCCATTTCCGGAGACTCTGGCCAGTACTAGATCAAGAACTAGGTATGGGCAGGGACAACAAATGACCCCTGGCCTCAGGAAGGAGTGATCACAGTAAGTATTCTACCATTGAGCCACATCCCCAACACAAGCCTAGTAAGATATGGTGGGCAGCCATATATATGGCATGTGCTCACTAATGGTCACATGAAGATGTCTGGGTTCCCCCAGAAGTCCACAGCTAGAGCACTGTTTGAGTAAGGTGGGTCCCAGCACAAGGAGCAGGCTTCCTGGGACCATATCTTGTCTTCTCTCTCCAAGTTCCAGGCCTCTCTCTCT